TCAACAGGGGCAACCCCTTTTTCTCTTGTTTATGGCATGGAAGCAGTGCTCCCGATAGAGGTTGAAATCCCTTCTATGAGAGTTTTGATGGAAACTGAATTGTCTGAGGCTGAATGGTGTCAAAGTAGATACGACCAGTTGAATCTGATTGAAGAAAAAAGAATGACGGCCTTGTGTCATGGCCAATTATATCAACAAAGAATGAAGAAAGCGTTTGATAAGAGGGTTCGACCCCGTGTGTTCAGAGAAGGTGACCTCGTGCTCAAAAAGATCTCGACTTTTACTACTGATTCTAGGGGCAAGTGGACTCCTAATTATGAAGGCCCATATGTTGTTAAGAGAGCCTTCTCTGGCGGTGCATTAATTCTTACAACTATGGATGGATAAGAGTTCACTCGTCCTGTGAATGCCGATGCAGTCAAGAAATACTTCGCCTAAAAAAAATAAAAGAACAGCTCGCTAAGTTGAAAACCTGAAAGGGCAGCTTAGGCAAAAATGAGTGTCTCGGTGGATTGAAAACCCGAAAGGGCGGTCCAGGCAAAAATTAGAGACAAAACAGAAATAATCATCCCGGTAGATTGAAAACCCGAGAGGGCAATCTAGGCAAAAGTTAGGGATCATGGCAAGTAACTGCATCTGGCCAGTCTTGATCGTTTGAAGCAACATTTCCTATCAAAGGTTTTACTTCAGATATTTTCCGCTGAAGTCTCAAGCACAGTTGGAATTCAAAGTTGTTAGGGAGAATGATGGTCATTGTATTTCAATGTAGAACTTTCCATTGTACTTACCATTTTTCAAACTTTGTAATGATCCATGGAGTTACGCCATTTGCGGACTACCATTCTATTAATAGAATTTGGGCCTTTGTCCCTTTGTTTGCAATTCTTATTTTGTTTCTGTTTACAGAATTTCATTTTATTTTTTATGATGATTTTTGAAACAAATGTGAATAATTGATTTAAATTTTGAAAATTATAAAAGCATTTTTCTTTGATTTATGAAAATAAAAGAAAGAATGTCAACAGTAATCCCAAGAATGGTAGAATCTTGAAGCGAAAAGCGTAAGTGTTCTCTTCAGCAGGGTTCTTTCTTGCCTTTCTGGTAGAATTTATTGGCAGCTCCCCAGTAGAGTTGTGTTGATGTTTCCCCATTTGAGCTATATTGAGGTCTCTTCAGTAGAGTTTTGATATCCCCTTAGCAAAGTTTTGTTTCTTTGGATAAACCAGACGAGTATTGAACGGTTTTCCACAACAAAGTCTTGATTCAAATAATGGATATGTTTTATTCATTCAACCAGGTTATGATCGGATAGTTGAGAAATTTGAAGACCACTTCTCCTTGATGTTTTTGCCCAGGCGGAGATTTGTCTTTGATGATTCCTAGCAGAGGTTATGCATATTTACTTTGGATTATTCCCCAAGTAGAGAACAATGTTGTTTACTTCTAAGAAGTGTTGACATAGCAGTCACCTGTCGGGTTTTCTCTCACCTTGTGATTGGGTATTGATTTAAAATCCCCCACAGTTTAACTTTTTGCTATGATGTTAACTTCTTATTCCCCTGGCAGGTTTGGAAGATTTGTGTTGCTATGTTTTCTCCAACAGTTTTTTTTTTCTTCTTTTTCTTCTCAAAGCGGAGTTCATATTGTTGTTCCCTTTTGTTGAATTATTGATGGTTGAAGATTGATCTTTGGGGTCTTTTCCCAAGCGGTATCTTTGTCTCTTCAGCGAGATTTAAGCCTTGTAGTAGGATTTATTTTCCTTTGATGGCTCTTGTGTATCTCTTGCAGATTTTTTGTTGCTGATCCCCAGCACGATCTCCAATGATATCTCTAACTTGCAGAGATTAGCCGAGTATTTCAGTGGTGTTGTGGTGTTTTGTTTACCCTCTGTTTGCCCTTTTTGTCTGATTTATCAGCATATTCATACTCATTGCATGCGCATTCATTTTGGTTGAGCATAGCATGTCTTTGTTGCATTGTGTATCCTGCATTTTTTGTTGGTATTTCCCTTTTCCCGATGTTGTTATCTCGCAGAATGCGTGTGTCCTCTCTTCATTAGAGTGTCGACCCCTAAGCAGAAAATACCTATCATTTTTAATTCCCCACTGAGTTTATGCCTCGTGGAAGATGTTTTGTTTAGCTTTCCTCCCCAGCTTTTATCCGGATGGAATTGTTCCCCAGTTGAGTTATTTCCTCATTGGGTCGAATCTTGTTTGACCGTTTCTTTCCAGTTTGTTCCTGGATTGAACTGTGGTCTTTTGCAGCAATTACTTTGATTTTCCCTGGGCTGTGAAACCGGGATGACGAGAAGGTAGTTTTGAGGATTTATTTTCCTCAGCAGAATCTGTTATTGATCCCCATCAGAAGATGAAGATTTGATTTCCCCAGTAGTGTTTTGATAACACTCTCTTGGCAATTACTTATGCAACTTCATGTGGAAGCCTCTTTATTTGAGCAACTTGTGTAATCTCCAGAAATTTACCTTCGCAATAAATAACATTTCTCTGGCTCATCCTCAACAGAGAAGTTTATTGTGAAATGATGGATCCTTATCCGACCAGCTTTTCTGTCAATTGGAATTTCTGTGGAATAACTCCCGATGAGAATTCTATTGCATGGTTCAACCTGCTCGTATCTCTTTTAAAGATCCCCGACAGAGTTGTTAATATCTTTTTCTAACAAATGGTTGTCTCTTTATTTGAGAAGTTTGTTGTGTGTTTGGAGCTGCTCGGTAACAAGTAGCTGATGATATATCTCTTTCTCCTACCCAGTGACAGGTAGTCGAGTATGTTTGTCCTACCCAGTGTCAGGTAGTTGACCTTTATTTTCTTCTCCTACCCAGTGACAGGTAGTTGAGTCTGTCCTACCCAGTAACAGGTAGTTGACATGTTGTTTACCCTATCCAGTAAACGATAGCTGGTAACCCCTTTCATTCAAGTTTATTATTCTCGCTAAACTACTCAGTAACCAGTAGTTGGCGTTGTTTCTTTTCCTACCCAGTAACAGGTAGTTGATTATATCTCAACGAGTGGATTACTTTTTACCCAGTAACTGGTAATAAGTAATACATTTCTTTGTTTTCTACCCAGTAACTGGTAGATAACAATTCTCTTGTGTTTTTTTGCACTTATTTTCTACTCAGTAACCAGTAGAAAGTATTTTACCTATTCTCTTCGGTTCGAATATCTTCGCCCAGTAACTAGCAGTTGGTATCTCTTTCCCCGTTGAGTCGTTTCCTTTCTTTTATCAAAGTAGGGTCTTGTTTTTTTGTTTTCCCTTGTGGAATCTCTCTTTTTCTCCCGAGCTTTTGTTTGTCTCCTGTGGCATTTTCCTCCCCACAGAGGTCTTGTGTTTGCATACCATATCATTAGCATAATCATATCATTTTGTGGCCTCTTAGGGACAAAAATTGGGTTTATTGTTATATTTAAGTCTCTTCTATCTAGTCGAGACAAAGATGTCAATCTTCATATCTCCGGATAGAAGAATCTTAAATAGGGGCAGCTGTAATACCCTAATTTTTACCCCTAAGATCCCACATTGCATTTTCATTTTTGCATACACAAACAAGACCATACTTTTTGGTTCTCTCAGCACACTTGTGTTTTCTACTTGCTTTATGTTTATTTCTGTTTACTAACCTCTAACCAAAATACCAAAAAATATTTTTCAATTTTTTTTTGTTTCTTCTTCTTCTCTGTGTGTTTAGGGTTTTGCAAGGAAATTGAGGGCAAAGACATCCATTCGAGTCTAAATCAGATGAAAGTTTGACCTCATCTTGGTCGAACTATCAAGAGTTTGCTTCAACTATAAGTTACCCGTGGTGGTGGGCTATTTTCTCAAGAAATGTGATTGTTCAAGGTCAAGTTGTCCTATATCAGAATTCATCAGTTTATCGAGCAGTGTTCTATGAGAAGTTTGGTCCAGATATTCAGAGAATTATGTCAAAAATCAAAATTGATGGCCGATGATTTAGTTGCAAGTTATTCAGTGGTTCGTCTGTGAATCTATCAGGGTAAAGTCAGAATTTGGTTTAGATGATTGTTGCTTCAGGTACAAGTAATTCCTTGGACTCCTCGCTTATCCGTCCTTGCCAGGGTTCCTCAAGTTAATAGAAATGGAAAAGAAGATCACACGGATCCGATTAAACCTGTTTTTGTTTCCGAGTTTCCGCAAATTGTTTGTGATGAACAAGCTACCTCGCCGCATAAACGAGTTCCCTTTGAAGACTGTGGTGGATGTGGTGGGATTGACAAGAGTACATCGCTTGCTTGGATTATATGTGGAAGTAAGGTCTTTGTTTGGAGTTACTTGTCGCCTGCGGCTTCTATGAATTGTGTTGTTCTTGAAATTCCTTTGAATGATAGGGATGTTGCCGATTATGATGCTGGTAGTTGGTTGGTTTCTGTGGGTAATTGTGATAGTTCGTCTTTTGGGTTGAATAAAGTTGCTAAACATATTGCAGTTGTTTTGTGTAATAGAAATACATGAGCTGTTGTATACTGGCCGGATATTTATTCTCAGTCAAGAAATGCTCCAGTTACTAGTCTTGCGTCTTTTGATGAGTTGGAGGCTGTTGGTGAGAAGACACCGTTTAAGAGGCAGACGCGGCAGAGGAAGCAGGCGACTGATTTGAATGGATTGAATGTCTTTAACTCTTTGATTGCTTCTGCAGTTCCCAGTTATACCTTTGCATGTGTTGCTCTTGCTTGTAGCTCAAGAGGTGAGCTTTGGCAATTTGAATGCAGTCCTACTGGCATTCGTCGAAGGAAAGTATATGAGAATATTGTTAATTTTTCACACAAAGGAGGATTAACTAAACTCAAGACAGTGCCAGTAATTTTGTACCCTAACCCAAGTGTGTTGCGGCTGTGTTTAACGAAGAAGCTACACTCCTCCTTATACTTTCGCTCTCGCGTTGATTCGGCGGCGGAGCTTCATCATCTCTCCGCCGATCGTAGATTCCGACGCTACGAAATCAGTTTCAACTACCTGCTAAAATGTCGGAAAATCGTAAAATTCCGAAGCTACCAGTTGAAGGAAAGCGCAACATCCTCATCACCAGTGCTCTGCCTTACGTCAACAACGTTCCTCATCTCGGCAACATCATTGGATGTGTGCTGAGTGTCGATGTGTTCGCTCGGTATTGTCGGCTTCGGGATTACAATGCTATTTACATCTGCAGTACTGATGAGTATGGCACAGCAACAGAGACTAAAGCATTGGAAGAGAATTGTTCTCCCAAAGAGATTTGTGACAAATACCATGCCATTCATAAGGAGGTATATGATTGGTTCGATATAAGTTTTGATGAATTTGGGTGGACTTCTTCCCCTGAGCAAACTGAAGTTTGCCAGGCGATTTTCAAAAAGATACACGAAAACAATTGGCTCTCTAAGGACACATTACAACAGCTTTACTGCGATACATGCAAAAAGTTCTTAGCTGATCGGCTTGTGGAGGGTACATGCCCTATTCCCGGATGCGAGTATGATTTTGCTCGAGGAGACCAATGTGAGAAGTGCGGAAACCTTCTAAATCCGACAGAATTGAAGATTCCCAGGTGCAAGGTTTGTCGAAATAGTCCTCGTATTTGTGATACAGACCACTTATTTCTTGAGCTCCCTCTTTTGAAAGATAAATTAGAAAAATACATCAACGAGATGTCTGTGGTTGGATCATGGAGTCAGAATGCTATTCAAACAACAAATTCATGGTTCAAAATGGGATTAAAGAAACGCTGTATTACCAGAGATCTGAAGTGGGGAGTACATGTTCCACATGAAAAATACAGTGACAAGGTTTTCTATGTTTGGTTTGATGCACCTATTGGATATGTATCAATCACGGCAAGCTACACACATGATTGGGAGAAATGGTGGAAAAATCCGGAGAATGTGGAGTTATTTCAGTTTATGGGAAAGGACAACGTGCCATTCCACACTGTAATGTTTCCATCTACTCTACTCGGGACTGATCAAAATTGGACTTTAATGAAGACTATTAGTGTTACTGAATACCTGAATTATGAAGCAGGGAAGTTTTCTAAGAGCAAAGGCATCGGGGTATTTGGTAATGATGCAAAAGACACTATTATTCCAGTTGAAGTATGGAGATATTACTTGCTCACAAATAGGCCTGAGGTATCGGATACACTTTTTACGTGGTCTGACTTGCAAGCAAAATTAAATACTGAGTTGCTGAATAAATTGGGAAACTTTGTCAACAGAGTTTTGAGTTTTATTGCCAAACCTGCAGGTCAAGGATATGATTCCATTATTCCCACTGTTCCTGATGATGTAAGTGGTGACTCCCATGATCCAACCAAAAAATTGGCCAGCAAAGTTGCTGCATATTTGGAGCAATACATAGAAGAAATGGAGAAGGTTAAACTCAAGCAAGGATTGAAAATTGCAATGAGCATATCGGGCGAGGGGAATGCATATTTGCAGGAAACTGAATTTTGGCGTCTTTACAAGCAAAACCAATCTCTCTGCTCCCTTGTTATGAAAACGGCTGCTGGGGTTGTATATCTTCTTGCTTGTTTATTGGAACCTTTTATGCCATCTTTCAGTCTCGAGGTATTCAAGCAGCTAAATTTGTCTACGGAGATACATCTTTCACTTTCTGATGATAAGGGAGATGTTGATAGAGTAAGAAGACCTTGGGATCTCCTGAGTGCCGGTCATAAAATTGGAACACCAAAGCCATTGTTCAGGGAACTGAAAGATGAAGAAGTGTAGTTCTACAGGAAGAAATTTGAAGGAAGTCAAGCAGGATTCAGGGTTCCCATGCTTTAAAGGTGGTATACGGATGATACAGAACTTACAAAAGCGATTCCATCTCAGTTTAACAGAAGAGCAATGTGTCTCCTTGGTGCTTTCTCTTATTAGCAGTAGCCTTGATGCTTGAAGAACACGGCAGTATGATTATTATCAGAGAGATTTTATAAAGAAGCTCTGTCGGTGTATCCATTTTTAATTATGTTGTGGAAATGTTACTATAAGTTGTTTCTGTCTATAGGAGATGCAAAGAAAAATTGCTGAAGAAGCAGAGCGAAAACGGCTCGAAATTGAGGTTGAGCTGAAGAAACAATTCATCACTTATCCAAGCCATATTGCAAGCCATGTGAATATAATCTCAGTCATGTTACACTCCAAGCTGACCCCACAAGCCTTCCACGTCACTTAAGTGAGCTGAAAGAAGAAAAAGCAAAACGACATAAAAAAAAAGTCTCAGTATGAGTCACGCAATTTGCATCACAAAACGCAGTGAAAATTTCACAAACGGCAAATCACTCTCTCTCATTCTCAATCTATAAATACAACTCACCTCTCATTTGTTTTTTCAAGCTTTTCAAGCCAATTAATCCCTGCAGAATTTTCATCATAACTCCTCAATTTTCCTTCAAATTTCACTTTCAAAAATCACCCTCAACCGTTCTTCAAATTTCATCAGATTCAACTTTCTTTTCATTCACAACCTTTCCACATAAAAACTCACCATACTTCAACTTCTTCAACACAACAATCATAATTTCGCAGTCCAGAAGAAGAAGAAAGAAGAAGAGAGTTTCGATTTCATCATTTACCTGAGTTTGAAGGTAGATTGAGCTTCACCGTCAGTTTCGATCCGTTACTTTTTGTTGTGTTTCTTTGAATTGTTGGTACCATTGTGAAGAGCTCTTGATTTCGATTGCAACCGCGTATTTTTCGCGTCCCGCCGTTGTGATTTAAGCGAGCATCCATGGCTGTGAACGTTTTCGCGTGTGAGAGCTAGAAGAAGACGATGTGTTTCTGTTTCTTTCTGATTTCTATTTCTTTTTTTTCTTTCACTTGTTTTATTATATTTTTATTTTTTTTAATTTTTTTTATTCTTTTTCTTAAAGATTTGGGCCGTATGGGCCTGTTAACTTTTTTTTCTTGTTAATAATTTTATATTTTAAAGAAAACTCTTAAAAAAAATTGATAAAAAAATATATACTAATTTGGATTAATTGTAATTTTGGTTTTGGATCTTAAATTTTGATAGGATCTCATCAATATCAATGGACTTTGAGTGTTGATTTTATCCATTAAAAGAGGTGATTGATATTGATGATGATTTAATCGATTTAAGATTCAAATTGAAATTTCTTTTCATTTTAATTCTTTTTCTTCTTCTTTTTATTTTTGATCGATGAAATCCATGGATCATAGATTGTTGATTATCAAGGTTGTTTAATCTTCATTATTTCAAATCTATGGACGAATAATCATTGAGATAATTCTCCTTACTTTGGAATAGTGATAGATTACCTTTGATTAATTAATTAAAAATCTTGATTGTGATGAGATCACTACCTCTTTTCTTTTTGTGTGGCATGTTTTAGGAGAGTGATTTACATATCACTTCTCTAACATGTATTAACACTAACATTTTATTGACCGGCCTCAGATAGTCGTGGTTTCTATATAAACCCGATTACGATTGCTTAACATAGCGCTAAAGTGTCCCTTAATCGGAAAATGATCATTCGTGGCTCAAACTTACGTTTAAAAGTCCAAGTATGTTTAGTTGCTTGTCTTAAGTCCAATACCTATGAAAATCATTGTTAGGAGGCTTTGATTCTATCAATCCTCTAATGAGTTTTCATTAACCTTGGTCTAAAGTGCAAGAATTAATCATCATTGATCATATGTTCTAACCACTAATTACTAATTCACTAACATTATCTTTGTTTAATTTTGTTTATATTCTCTTCTTACTCCTTATTTCTTACTTTTATGCTTCCATATTATCATTTCATATCATATCTTTGTTTATGTTTATGTCATTTTCTCTTTATCCACTTGGACCATACTTTGTTCAAAACACAAATAAAGGATAAAACATCTAAAAAATTTGGTACTATTAACTTTGTGGTTATGCTCTTGGACTACTCTTAGACCTTGGACTTTATGGACCTTTGGACTTAGAATTAGGGCTCTCATTCCTATGCTTGGAGTATTGTGGATCTTAGCCTTTATTTGGCTCGCTCATTAGCTTATGCTTTAAATCGGATGGAATTCTTTTTTGCTTGCTATGGAGTGTGCTACAAGTCGGTTAGATCTTTCTTACCTCTAGCTCTTATTTTGGTTTCTAGGATAGTCACTTCATCTCCTCCCTTTCTTAAATTTTCAAAACTTTCTCCCTCTTTCAAAACCTTCTTGGTTTCAAACTTCAAAACCGCTTTCGCAATAAAACCTTGACTTTCGTCAAGTGATTTTTAAACTTTGTTTTTTTCTTAATAAAAGTCAATCAATGTTAATCATGCTTTGACCAATTTCAAAAGACATAAAAAATACAAAAACTCATCAACTCTTTTTGTGCCTTTATGCACTTTTTCACTTTAAAACTTTTCATAAAGTTTAGACATGATTCATTTCTATAGTTGAGATGTAAATCTATTATTCCCCATATTATTAAGACTTTGACATTTTCCACGTTGATGTTGAGTGATAGTCTTGTTGATAATCCAAGCAAATCCTCCATCTTTATGTGACGCAGATGTTGTCTTAATACTCGTGGGTGGATAGTCGCAGTTTTCTCCTTGAAATGACGACTTGTCTTTACATCTAAAATCAATCAAAACCAACAAATTTTTGTCATTTGTACCACGAACTATGGGGTTTTGATTCCATATTGCACTTTATGGGTACGTAGGCATGAGACGATAAGTCTCTCCAAACACAAAAATCTAAAAAAATAATTCTCTTCTCATCTCCCCAATCTCTTTTCAAACAAACCATTTTCAAACCAAAAAGTGTAAATATTTCAAAGGGCTCCTATAGAGTACTATAGACGTTTTGGGTGCTAACACCTTCCCATTGCGTAACCAACCCCCTTACCCCGATCTCTGTCTCGTGTTCTTATTTTAGAACTCTTTGGTTTTGTTCGCTCTTTTTCCTTTCCTTTATTTGGATAAAATAAAAGTGCGGTGGCGACTCTTGTTTTTTTGAGTTAAGTTAATTAATAACTTACGCTCACGATTTTTACCGCTACAGTATCAAACAATGTTTTTGACCGATGTTTGACTCAAGAGGGATAAGGTATGCATATGTGACACAATGATACCGTCCAAAGTACATTTTTCTACCTATCTAAGTTTTGACATCATTAAACCAAGAGTAGCTAACTATGAGGATTACCCTCACACATAAGGGCAAAAGTGTTGTCTCCAAATTGGATTGAAGACAACACATGGTGTTGCCAATCCAATTGGAGACTCGGTCTAATATTTACAAGGGTGTCGCCAATTCATCTAGAGACAGCCTTGAAAATGATTTTTTTCTATAAATAGAGGTGTTCTGATCATTTAGTTCCACAACTCATCTCATATCTTTGAGTTACTAAAAAAATGTATCATCGATGGTGGGGAAAAGTTATCTATTTGAGAGAGCAACCTCCGATGGACATGCTATTTTGGAACATTCAAATTTCCAATCAACTTAAGAGGTAGCTAAATCGGTGGTTAGAAGGAGACATCGGTAAAGAAGAAAAAACTCGAAATATTGAGAGACTTGATCGCTTGCGTGGATGGGCTCACGTTAAGACTGACAAGGATGTGAGGGAAGTAATGTTTGAACTGAATGACATTAGTTTGATTTTTGTAATCAGTTAGAAATGTTTTATGTTTCGTTTCCGTTATCTGTTTTATGTGTCGTATGTGTTGTTTGTTGTTAACATTGTTGTAACAAAGGCTCATTAATATATAAAAATTTTAGGTTACAACATTTGAAAAGATAAACTAAATTATGATGCAGAGGTTGCTCCGACATTGGAACAATTTTTTCGGTTGTGTCTGGGATGACGAGATATATTGCATAATCTTATCATTTTATCAGTCGTATCCATTTCATCACTTTCATTATACTTTCACTGAATACTGACCTGACATTAACACTGCACTCCATCTTTCTCCTCTTATTGCGATGTTAACCTATAATAGGTTGATCTCACCAAAGTGGTGATTTGAAGGTTTCTAATTCCTTTAAAGACCTCGTTCATGGATTCCACAAGGTTTGTCGTCATATGGCCCCAACGACATCCACCATCAAAAGTCCGTGTCCATTTTTTCAATGGAATGTTATCCAACCATGTTCTTGCATCTATGTTTTACATCCTAATTTCGTTAAGGTAGTATTGAAATGACAGTTGAGTTAGAGCATACCCGACATTCACAATTTTTTTGCGAAGGTTCTTGTCTTTGATTGCACGCATGAAGTTTTGTGCAATATGTCTAATGCAATATACATAGGTATAATAAGGATTATGTCACCCATTATCATAGTTATTGTAAAACACTATCTATAGCAGCATGCCTGTCTGAAATCACACACCTTTTTTTTTCAACCGGTGAATATATCGTGACGTTAGAGGATGTGTACGTGTTACTCGATTTGCGTATTGATGGTAAGGTGGTCAATAGACCAACTAACCTTGATGATTCAATTTGTGAGGAACTTTTGGGTGCCGACTTGCTGGATGAGAGCTCAAGAGGTCAAGGTATCTTACTTTCGCGCGTCAAATCATGGTACAACGGTTTTATATTAGATCAAGATTCTACCGAAGAAATGAAAATAATAAAAGCCAGGTGTTATCTTATGCTTTTAATTGGTTTATTTTTATTTCCTAAAGGCATTAGTTCTTCTATGCATGTTATGTATTTACTCTTATTGCGAAACCTAGATAAAACAAGAGAGTATAATTGGGGTTCCGCTTG